AATGCGAACAAGTAAAGGTGCACTGTCGAAAGTAAACGTTACTTTATTTACGAAGATTTAATTGTTTTATTACTGCATAAACATACCTCTACCGATATATATGACGAAGAGGGCTCTCGCTTGACATCGCCCATACCATCCTCCGACATCATTTTTGAAAACCGCATAAAAATCAGTTCAGCCAATCGGGAGATAATCGCGCACAAACATACATACATACAGGTCAAAGAAGAAAAAAGAAGAAGAAAGAAAAGCCTTTTATTTCTGCGCAAAACACACATAACATATTTAAAAAATAAAAAAAGCTAAAAAATTAAAATGAAGTGAGATCTTGTCCATGGTCCACAGACTTATTATTTTACTGAAATGATATAATATTTAATATCTAATATTATCTGTGGACCATAGACAAGGAAACACCCTACTACAAAGTGCGAACCTCTTATTTTAAGTCCGTTAAAAAAAACTCTAGCTGGTCCCGCGCGGTCTCATCCGCTTGGCTTGGTACCCACTGGTCGTAGCGTGGCGTTTTAATGCCTATAACGTTCCTTAACAAATGAAGTATCCAACACAAAGGCTTGTTTAATCACTACATAGTATAAAATAAAGTCGCTTTTTCTGTCCCTATGTCCCTTTGTATGCTTAAATCTTTGAAACTGGGCAACGGATTTTGATGCGGTTTTTTTTAATACATAGAGTGATTCATAAGGAAGGTTTATATGTATAATACATGCATAATATAGTAGAGAAACACTGAGGTTTCTAATGTGATGTCGTAAATCAGCACTTTTTTTGCGCTCATATTGCAAACGCTGGCTGTACCCTACGAGATAGACCAAAATAGTGTACTACAGTATTGACCACCTTAAAAAGTTTAACAAAAAGTCCGCAATGGTATATGTCTATCTATTAGGGATAACCCACCATAACCATTTTTTATCCTTTACTATCAATGATTAATTACGAAGTGATTTTAAATAATACAGCATATTAATCCTTATCCAATTAAGTATATTTTATATAAATATACTTTATATAAATTGTGCATTTATCATAGATCAATATGCTTTTTACAGCATGTAATTTAAGTGAATATTTCCGAAGATATTACAAATTTAATATGCAGGGACGTATTTGTTGCGGCGTTGATGGCCGCGTTTCGTCCTAGAGCACTTCATGACTTGCAACGATCGCTCGCGTTTATCGGAGCTCTCTAGCGAGCAAAATATCAATATAAAACATGTTTGTATTGTCTAATGACAAAATAGCTGTGAACGTGGTGTATAAGGACACTTTGTAGTAGGTATTTTTACATAAGTATTGCACCCGTGCGAAGCCGGGGCGGGTTGCTAGTTATAAATATGACCGACAAAATAAAAAAATACGTGTCTGAATCTAATATTATCCAACATCTAAATTGACGGACTGAACAGATTTTATATTGTCATACTCACACCCCGGCGCGGCGTCATCCCAATTGTGTCTGAGTCGGCATCCTGTTTCGGCACAATTTCATAATAGACATTTAGGGAATTCCCAGCTTCAAAGAGTGAATGATCTAGATTTTGGTTGACGTATATTTCGGCGGTGGAATGTCCAGGAGTCAATTGAAGTCAAGTATAAAAGAGGGATTGTTTGGGGGTACAGAGCATTCGTTACTCGACAGTTGAACCTAACGGGTGTTGGAAACCAATCGTCAATTAATTTGTGAAATCAAGAAATAATATCGAAGTTATAATGGCTGCAATCACCAATCCGGTGAGTGTTTTTTTTTACATTATTCAATTTTTTTTTCGTTAGTGGAATTGGGCCTCCGACACACGATTAAGAGCCGATTTTTCCATCGCTAGATAAATTTTAACTGAGTAATAACTTTGAATATTTGACAATTCTTTAACAAATTCGTTCCATACTAAAAACTGTCATAATATGTCAAATTTATTCTACAGTTACGAGTTAACTGATGTTTGAAAATTGGCCGTTAATGTTTTAAACGACAAGTTAATAGCTGGATTGGGGCGATGTCGTTACTGGACACCTTCAAAGATCTGGTCAAATATGGGTTACAAAATCGTGAAATGATCGTCACATTGAGTTGCCCACATCGCATTAAATTCTCAATGTTTTCGTGAATTGAGCAAATCTACTGTGTAGAATTTATGCCAGACCTATATCCCTCTTATGTGGAGGCAGTGCCGTCCTTACCATTTTTTTTTAATTTTTTTAAGGGGGAAAATCATCGAATGGCTGTTCCCGCCTGGGTGAGGCGGAAGGGAGTGTCAGACTCTTACTGACTAAAAACCACCCCGTTCCTTCTCCTGCACGTCGAGCCGGAGCCCCGGTTACTCGTTAGGTTCTCCGCGACTCCGAATCTCTCCGCGACTCCGAATCGCCGTCCTTACCATAAGAGCACTCGGGGCCCGGTTTATTTCTACGACGTACACACAAAGATTTGCTCATTTGCTACACGTTGGCGGCAACTGGCCCCGCAATGTGTAGCGGGCTCGATTCCCACACATAACAAATCTTTGTGTAATTAACAAATTGTTGTGTGTGTGAACTTGTGTTTGTAACTGCACCCACGAGACAAGAGTAAATCCTAGTGCGGTGCAACGGTAAAAAAAACATTACGCAAGGGCCCCAAATTATTGTGTGCCCAAAGGGCCCCAGCGTAGTCTAAGACGGCCCTGTGTAGAGGAGGCCCATTATCATAGTCCAGCTGTGGACTGTTTGCTACATACCAATGTTATAAGCTCTTATTTGACTTGCAATGTATGTATGTATGTATGTGTGTGTTTGTGTGTGAAGCGGAATCTTGCAACTGAATTTTGAAGCAGATATCTTCAACCGATTGAGCTGATATTTTGTATAGACGTTTAGTGTAGGTGCATAAATTTAAATCTATTTCTGTTTCCAGAGAGTACCATTCACGAATTCCATTTCTGGGGGTATGTTCCCCGGTCGCAAGATGGTTGTCAAGGGTGGCATTCCTCCTGGATCCAACGGGTGAGTTCAAATTTAAAAATCAAGAAGTTTTCAGTGTTTGTTACTCCTAGGATTAGGTTTTAGTATATGCACTGACTACATGATAATATTAAGTGACCGTGACATTAATGATAATACTAGCTACTTCCGCCCGGTTGCACCCGCTCTGCTCAGCTCCTAATGATTGTAGCTTGATGTTTTGTAGCCTATAACCTTCCTCGATAAATGTACTATCCAACACAAAAAGAATTATTGAAATCGGACTGGTAGTTTTTGAGATTAGCGCGTTCAAACAAACAAACAAAAAAACAAACTTCAGCTTTATAATATTAGTATAGATTAGGTGTGACATTTATGACAATAAATGTGTGACATTCCTGTAAAATTGACATTTATATAATATTGTGTGTGACATTTATGACATGTCTGATTTATTTTGTAACATTTTTCTCTTTTAATTTTCGTAGTGACAAGTTTGTAAGTACCTACATTATTTTTGCACGCAGATGTTGAAGGCAAAATAAGAGGACCTAAGTTGTTATAAAATGACAACTACATATCTGTACCTTATTTAAGCAAATAAATACTTTTTGAATTTGAATTGAATTTACATAAAGGAGATTGAAGTCGGATTTTTTTAAACGTAACTTATGAAAAAAAATTACGTTTTGTCCCAGGTTCTCGTTGAATTTGGTTTGCGGTAGCGATGAAATCGCTTTTCATTTCAACCCTCGCTTCGGAGAGCAGCGCATCGTTCGTAACTCCTTACTTTCTGGAAACTGGGGCGCTCAGGAGACTAGTGGAGGCATGCCGCTGATCAAAGGAGAGCCGTTTGAAGCCCAATTTGAGTGTCAAGAAGATTGCATCAGGGTGCGTAGTAGATGGAGTGTATATTGTTTTCTTTATCAAAATAAGTGCTACCTACATAAAAAATACTGTTTCAATGAGCTCTATTCTACCAATCAAGCATTTGATATCTACAATGGAGGTAGTTGTGGAAACAATTAGATTATATTGTATGGTCATCAAGATTAAGAGTGTGTACTAAATATCAGATCGATCTGTCGCCAGGAAGGGGGTGAAATTCCCATGGACACCAGCAGCCATGGAGGAGTTAGAAGTGCGTTGTCAGCCTTTTGGGGGTTGAAGAGTTGAGAATAGAGAATATGGAGAGGGGGTAGATTGGGCCTCCGGTAACCTCACTCACACGGCGATACACGACGCAAGCGTTGTTTCACGCCGGTGTACTGTGAGGCCGTGGTATCAGTCCGGTCGAAGCACGGCTCTACCACGCTTAAAAATGTTTTATAATACCTACTAGATATTACTCAATTTTAAGTTGTACTCAAATATTATAGTATCCATAAATATAATTGTCTGTGATGCTGTCTCTGTCATTTTACAAAGAATGTGTAGAGACAGAACTATTCTTGAGAGCGTCTTAAAAGTTTTGTTTGATCGTTCGAGTATTCGCTGTCGCTACAAGCTTCCTTGTGCGAACTGCGAAGTAGTGAAATTCTTTGCCAGAGTCTGTGTATCCTGATGAGATATATAATAACCTGGATGTGTTCAAGTTCCGAGTGAATAGGTCGCGTATGTAGGCGTGCTCCATCGTAGGACCCACCAGTTGAGATACAGGACACATTAAAAAAAATGACTATAATTTTATGCCCCACCAGGTGGAGTTGAATGGAAAACACTTCTGTAACTACACACACCGTACGCCGTACCACAAGATCACCCACGTGAAGGGAGACGGTGACGTGCTGATCAATCAGATCACCTTTGAAGGAAAATAAATCGCCATCTGACAATGGTAAGTTACATTCACATCAACATCCTACAAGTGCCCACTGCTGACCAAAGGCCTCTTCTCACACGGAGGTTTGAGCATTAATCACCACGCTTGCTCAATGCGGATTGGCGATTACAAAATTATAATTAGAAATTATAAGCCCAGGTTTCCTCCCGATGTTTTCCTTCACCGTTTGTCAGTGGTGTCTAACTATTCTTAGAAAGTACATATAACTCGGAACACTTCTACCAGCGGCTTCGCCCGCGTTCCCGTGGGATAAAACAATTCAAGACATTACATTACCCCTGGGGACGCGGGTGGAGCCGCTGGCAGAAGCTAGTTTATAATATTAGAAGGATAATAATATAAAAAACTAAAATTATAGATATAAATATGGATAATCGACTTTTTGTCTTTCAGATCATTTCTCCAGTAAGAAGACATGCTGAGTCGCTGATATAATTTACTTACTTAATTTTATATTTCATTTATTTTGTAAAAAAAATACACTGAAATCAATGATCTAACGCCAATGATTTTTGTATTTTTTTTTTTTTTAAATAAAGGTATTTGCTTTTTGAAATATTTTCTTTTTTGTTAGAATGAGACAAAAATAGTAGCCTATGTTACCTTTTTGTGTTTTTTTCTTTTGAGGGGGGAAATCATCCAATCCCTCCTTGGGCTAGGCGACAGGGAGTGTCAGACTCTTACTAAGTAAAAACCACCCCGTTCCTACTGGAGTCCTGCTCTTAGGCCTTCCGCGGCTCCGTATCGGGCATCAGTCCTATTGGGCCCCATCCAATAGGGCTGATGCCCGATACAGCATCTGTGGTGGTCTGATAGCTCTTTGAGGCACGCGCGGAACGCGACGCGCCGTTACTATCCATCCCTTGACCTATCTTCACTTAACAAATCACGACAATTCGTCGCTCCGTTTTACTGTGAAAGACGGACAAATAAACACATAATCATGTAATAAATAATCAACTTTATTTTCAGAAGAATAAAGTATATTTACAGAAATGGATACAATAATGAAAATTTAAAGATTGTTTATAACATCATATAAAACTAAAAATGAATGAATGTGTCAGCCTGGGCCACGCCGTACTATTCTGAAATTTATTTTGCAATGTCACTTCGGAACCCGCAGTTTCTGAAAATAAGCGATTTCGACACCAGCGCCACCAGGTGAGGACGGAAGGGAGTAGAATTATGTCAAGTGGTTATTTTGACATTCTGGGTTTTATGACATTATGACTTTTTGTTGTAGTTTCCGATTTGAGTTTTTAAAATGTGACTTGCGATTGAGTTAACCATTTTCAAAATAGTACTAGGTACAGAGCTGGTATTCTACTGACCCCATGAGGTGTCAGAAAATAGAGACAACATTGATTATTTACTATTAAAAATAAGAAACAAATCAAAATAAAAATATATTAGTTTTCCTGGCCATCTCTGCTTTGTTCAGTAAGGACCTGAAACAAAACAAAAATTTGATTTCTTAACACCACGATTTCGTTCGAACTAAATAATTATTTTTGTGCTGGGTAGTCCATTTGTAGAGGAAGACTATAAAACATCACACTGCGAGCAGTAGGAGCTGCTAGGCTATTTTGTAAGAAGTTACAGAATTTCCTTGTGATACTGGGGACCTTAGGGCTAAGAAAAGAAACATTGGATAAGGGCCCAGGGTCATTGCGTGCCCAAGGGCCGCCGTGTAGTCTAAGACAGCCCTATCTAAGGGCTCGTACACAAAACTGGGATGCGACGTCGCATCGCAAAAATATGCGAGCTCCCTCTACGCATCGCAACGACTTGCGAATTGATTCACATCGCCCATCAAAATCTTATTTTCCCAAAATCTTCTTTGTTTCTTTTTCCTGTATCTCCTAAGCAATAACAGAAGTGCACACTTCTGTTTACGATCCATTTCAATCTTAGTTTTCAATTTAAAATACGTTTAGTACGGTTGACGGTCGTCGAAGGAATGGTCACCCTGGGAGACGCCTTGTCGCACGAAATCGCATCACAGCAATTCGCATCGTATTTTTTTGTGTACGAGCCCTTAGACAGGGCTGTCTTAGACTACACGGCAGCCTTTGAGCACGCAATAATCCGGGGCCCTTATCCAACGTTTCTTTTCTTACGTAGCCCTGCAGTAGGTTTTCCTCCTGTATCGTGGGTGCGTTAACAAACATACGAGTTAACGTACACATGACACCCAGACCACAATTTTTGAATCACACAAAGATTTTCTCTGTTGGGGAATCAAACCCGCTACACGTTGCACGGCAGCCGTGTACCGCATAACATGTAGCGAGTAGTGGGTCTGTCGTAGAAATTGTCGGTCCTTCGGGGCGCCCTGAGAATGGGGACCCTGCGCACGGACCCCGAGTGCCCTCATGGTAAAGACGGTACTAACCTTAGATATTATTATAATAACTACTTACCGCAGACTCCCTCAGCATCGTTCGACTGAAACCAAACGAGTAATTTATATGATTAAATCTAACTCACTGCCTTATCGGCCGAGTGGTCGCTAGTGCGATTTCCCGGGTCGGGCGAAATATTAATGGGATTTAAAAAAAATCTCAGTAGTAGCACGGAGTCTGGAATTGTGCCCGGTATATGGCAATAGGCTCACCCTCTATTACATAGGACTCATACAATAAATACTGAAAAGTGGGTGTTACATTGTACAGTGGCATTAAGTGCTGCATGTGCACCTCTGCCTACCCCTTAGAGGATAAAAGGCGTGATATTCCACCGTTTCCACCAACTACCTCTAAACCTTCTCTTAGCTACAAGTCATTTAGCGTGTCGCAGCGATTATAGATTGCACACATATTACATGTGTCATTAATAGATTCGAGTTCGTGTTTTAACACATATTTTAATAGTTTTTTAAATGTGACGTCACGAATTTTAAGATCTCTCCCACCGTCTTGCCATATATGGGACCCAATAGGGTGGATGTTGATATGAATCCACAGATGACTTGACTGGTTGCCGGGGCTCCGGCTCGAAGAGCAGAAGGAACGGGGTAGTTTTAAGTCAGTAAGATTCTGACCCTCCAAAGGCGGGAGAAGTCAGTGAATGATTTCCCCCCAAAAAAGGAGCCCTTGTCACACTATGTCACATTTCGACGACCGTTAAAGATGGTCACTTACCATCAGGTGACCAGGTGACCTGTTCACTCGTTTGCTGCCCTACGCTACAAAATACTTACAAGGTAGTCCTTTGGTGGTGGAGTTCCTTCGAAGTCAATTTCATCTATGATGACGTCATGACTCACATCGATATGGGTGATCCTATGGAACGGAACACGGTGCATGAAGTCGGTGAAATGTTCTCCGTTCAGCATCACCTAGCGGGAGATGATGAGTTAGTATTTTTTCTACGAACTTATTTCAGGACTGCCTGCCTCGTTGGCCGAGTTGGCGCAAGTGCGACTGCTGGTCAAGAGGTCTCGGGTTCGATTCCCGGGTCGGGCAAAGTATTACTGGGTTTAAAAAAAAAATCTCAGTAGTAGCACGGAGTCTGGAATTGTGCCCGGTATATGGCAAATGTATGTTGTACATATATTTAAATGTCGGGTCATATCAATGATTGTAAATAGTTTTAACCTTACCCATGCATTAAATTAAAAAAAAAAGTATACCGACAAAAGAATGAAAATACCAATGTGAATGTGGTGGACGAATATTTTTATACACAGTAATATGAAATTACCCACACATGCACACTGTGTAAATGACAGTAGTGTCGATGTGTAGCGCTGCAAACTAATTAGCGGTGTTTTGTGTACATATGTTGATGGTGTTACTTCTGGGTGCACCTCTGCCTACCCCTTCGAGGATAAAAGGCGTGATGTTATGTTATGTTATGACATATTGATGAGTACCCAAGTTGAATCTCCTATGTGCGGTTAATCAGAAACAGCTAAGGACTGGAGATAGTCGCAAGTTCCTAAACTGAATACCACAACCATATGAGCATTACACATGTAAAAGACTACACTATAATAAAACGCGCGGCTCTGTCTACGTTCATATGGTGTGCAAATTTTTCCAAAATCCTCATAAAATTGCGTTTTACGATGCTCTGGCGCCAAAACTAAGTACAGTGAAACCTGGTTAAGTGAGACATCAAGGGACCTGCAATGCCGTTTCACTTATAGAGGTATTCCACTTATCCAGTGTCTCTGATGTATAGGTATAAATAAATATCTGTCTCATTTACAAAGGGTTCCATTAATAGGGGTGGACTTGGAATTACGTATGGAATTTGTGGGTAGAATAAGAATGAGTAAACAAACAATGTTACCTCAGTTACAGAGGTTTATGCATATAAAATTTACTCGCTGTCTCAGTTATAGCGGTAACTATGATGATAAATCGAAATAACAAATCCCAGATATAGAGGTTTACCTCGTCCCACTAACAGAGGTAATTCAGTGCCAAAGTGTTGGGACCTTTGCATGAGTTCCAGCTATGAAGGTTTCTCACTTATTCATGTCCCACTTAACCAAATTTCACTGTATATTATAGAAAAGCTGTCGAGACAGAAATTGTAGATGATTGTGAGTAGATTAAATTTGTAATTAGTTAACGGTTTTCTCGTCAAATGCATAGGAAACGAGATATTGTAAAAGTAATGTTTTTGTCCGCCATTTTTTCAAGATGGCGGCGTGGCGTATAAAGGTTCAAAATTGAAATCGAAAACAGCACATTAAAATCTACATAATTGCCGATTTTCAAAACAGCTGGAAAACATTCCAGGTGGAACTACCTAATTACTGAACTACAGGGCTCCAGCTGGAAGCAGGAGTAGTTGCAGGGTGAGGTTTAGTCAGTAAGACTGTAACTCTTGCTCTCGCTCGCGCCTCACCCAGAGCGCCATTAAATTAATGATTTAACTAAAAATTACGGGTTACTCACGTGAATATACTGAGAAAAAGCTCTACAAATTTCGAGTCACTGAGGGACTCTTACTCTTAAGCAGCATGCGCGGTCGCGGCGATGTCACAGCCTACTGGGAAGTTCCTGAATTGGTGCTATATTCACGTCAGTCACTCGTAGTGTTTAATTACATAACTCAGTATATCTCACGATAATTATTATAAAAAACATTTAATGGTGTTTAATAAACCTCAAAATCATTTTGCAACTCTTATGTCGGTGGTATCCATGGGCGGCATCGATTGCTTACCATCAGATGATACGTCTGCTCGTTTACCCCAATATTCCATAAAAAAACTTCATGTACCACTTACCTTAAAACGATCATAATGACAGACGAAAACGATTTCGAATGAGGATCCACGTGTCAATGGTAAGCCTCCGGAGGTCTCCTCATTGCCCCACAACCCAGAGATGTAATGGTTGCGTACAATATGGCCATCCGTGAAACGAGGATTGAAATGAAAAGCGATGTTTTTGTTGTACTGGAAGTCTATCCCGAACCTGAGGAACAAATTGTGCTGTAAATAATCATAATCATCACCAGCCTATTGTGTATTCTGTATACACTGTATACTTGTGTATACTGTGGGCACATGACTACAGCTGAGTAAAGTATTATCTTCTCACTCGGAGAAGTTCATCATCATCATCAACAGCCTATAAATGCCCACTGCTGAGCAAAGCCTCTTCTCACACGGAGAAGGTTAGAGCGTTAATCAGAGATCGGAGAAGTTATGAGTTATTAATCACCACGCTTGCTCAAGGTGGGCTCGCGATTCCAAACTTATAAGTGTAAGAAATTATCAGTCCCGGTAACCTCATGATGTTTGTTTTTCCTCACCTTCACCGTTTGTCAGTGGTGTCTAGGTAACCTATGAAAGTGTATAACTCGGGATAAGTCACATTGGTCTAACTCGCACCCTCATTCATGAGATCCCAGCGAAGCCAGAAACAACACGACTTTAAAACTAACTACGTTTTACTATGAATATGAACTTACCTCCTTGCTGCAAGAGGAGTGCTACCTTTGAATCTTATAATCTGGCCGGGGAAAATACCCCCAGGAATAGCAATCGTGCTTGGTGTTCCCTGAAAGGAAAAAGTACATTATACATCAAAAATTACTATTATCGTTGAATATTCCAAAAAATGGTTTAAGAAATAATAAAGGACACAAGATACTGCCTTGAGGTATACCACATTTAATCATTCGACAAAAAGACTTCTTACAGAGGTTATTTCTTTATATTACTTTCTATTACTAATAATATATAGCTATGACTCTGAATACAAGTTGTATCATCGTACAGGTAGACATTAATAGTATTTACAAACCAAACTATGCCAAAGGCATAATAAGTTCAAAAAATAACACAAAAGAACATGTAAATAACACTCACCGGATTCATTATAGTAGTATACATCTTTTTAATATGTTTTATCTGTCAAATTAAACGATTGTTGATTTCGGATGGGCTGTCGCCAAATGAATGCCTGGCTATCGTCCGCGCACGGCCTTATAAGTATAAGTACGCCCACGCCAGTAACCGCTAGAATGTTACAAAAGCGAAACGTCACATGTAACATCCTCGTCCCGCGCTATACTAGCGTCTGCCAGCAGCTTCACCCGCGTCCCCGTGGAATGAAAATTACTCTTTGTGTTATTCTGGACCATAGACTTCTGTTCCAAAATTATTAACTGAATTGAAAATTTGATTGTATATTAAAACTGCATTAATCTAATACCTATAAACAAAGTAATTTTTGTATATGTCGTGGTCTAAGTGATTAGTCGGGCATTATTCATAATGCCTGGGCAATATGAACAACTGGGGCTCCGGCTCGACGTGCAGGAGAAGGAACGGGTTGGTTTTTAGTCAGTAAGAGTCTGACACTCTCTTCTGCCTCACCCAGGCGGGAGAAGTCATTCGATGATTTTCCCTATTTAAAAAAAGTTGTAAGCATTTTTGTAATTAGTTCCTATTAACTGTAGAAACATGTAACTTTATGTAGAAAGGATGGATGAAAGTCAAGTAACAAAAGAAATATACAAAGCGGACGAATGGGGCCGTCGATAGAGGGCGCCCCAGACGGACATGTACTGACCAGATTGGCGATATATTAAAGAAGGGCCAAATTAAAAGTACCCTTAACCGACGAGCATGCATGAAAAGATTGATGACTGTTGTTGAAGCGAAAGAGGTATGTAGGAATCGTTGTAATTGGCGTTCCATAGTCTCTGCCTACCCCCATGACTTTTTTTATAATTATTATTACCTGTAAATGCCATATTTGGTGCAAATAAACGTTCTTCTAAAGGTTCTTATTCTTATTATCGAGTAGAGTAATAATAAAAACATTTTATTAATTAAACTTTATAGTTTAGTAACATAATATAAATAACATAACGCCTTTTATCGCCAAAGGGATAACCACAGGTGTACAATGCGGCAAAGTCAAAGTCAAAGTCAAAGCATTTATTTCAATTAAACCATAGTTTGGTACTTTGAAACGTCAACAAATACAAAATAAATAATAGTCTGTCAGTCAGTCCGTCAGTGAAATTAGGTGAAGCTAGGTGCTCATTCCAAAACGTAGAATCGAATGGAGAAGAACGAGCAAGAAACTCCATTCGTTACACTTTTTAAAAAAAAGTATGTTCTACAATGTCTCTGATACATATTTCAATACTGTACGCATATGTAAGAACAATGCAAAGACACGCTTGACGCATTATACTAATAACATACTAAAATAATAAAAAATAAAAATCTTAAGTCTAACATGGTGCTCACACATGCATACTGACAATCCATAGAAATAGTGCTTCTATACAAGAAAAGGGAAACTCTTTGTTTCAATAAAGAAAGAAATGCTCGATGCCATAAGGAAACTAGATTGTCTACATTAGAATTAAAGTATTAAATAATGTATTATATTACCTACTATTGGAATTTAACTACTGACTACATTTGAGTATTGTCCAGTGGAGCCGAACCAACATGCTGCCAAGCATTCTTATCTTCAAGATAATCTGTCAGTGTGTAGTAAGCTTGATTACATAATTCGCGCTTAATATAATATGTTTTAAATTTACTTTCATTGAGATCTAGTATGCTATTTGGTATTTTATTATAGCATTTAATACCTAACCCCATAAAGGATTTCTGTACTTTGGACAGTCTGAATTGCGGTATAGCTAAATTATTTTTGCCTCTAGTATTAAAATTGTGTCTATCGCTTCTTTTTTCAAACAATTGCCTATTTTTCCTTACATTTGGTGGCACTTGATGCCACAGCACTATGTAACACCTACTTTTCACTAATTAGGTTATGAGTCCTATAACCCTCTAGGTGAGCCTATTGCCATATACCGGGCATAATTTCAGACTCCGTGCTACTGATGGGATTTTTTTTAAAAACTCCGTAATATTTGGCTCGACCAAGGAATCGAACCCGAAACCAAGTACCGAACCCGAGAGAGTATATAGTTAAGTATTTTATAAATTGAAATACTCAGAATTCACTATTACTTCGACAAAATTATAAAGGGCTACATTTAGAATTTATAGTGTACAGTAGTATAAAACATCATGCTACCATCAATAGGAGCCCAGCAGGAGAAATAAATGTAGATAACTAAGTACTTGGGTAATATCGCAGTGGGGTTTTTGTCGGTCACTTGTGGTTTTGTTATCATTGTGCGAATTATATTTTTGGAAATAAATTTATCTATTTTTCTATATCTGCTGCTAGTGAAGGCAGAGATATGGAATGGTGGTTATAGATATGTATGCCACCTATGTCAGTACCTACTGCTAACCGACTTCGTAGATAGTGATGCGGAAGTACACTAGACTAGTTTCTGCCAGCGGCTTCGTCCGCGTCCCCCTGCGATAAGAAGCCTATGTGTTATTCCAGACTATAATTTGCCCCTGTTCCAAATTTCATCTCAATCCCTTCAGTCGTTTTGATTTTTTTTTTGTTTTTTTTTTATATAGCATTATCGGCAATTTTATAGCTAATAATTTTTCTTATAGTAAGTAATCGGCGCCGCCCATGGACACCCGAAACACCAAGGCATTAAAAGTGCGTTACTGGCCTTTTGAGAATTGGAAATTTGAGGATTCTGGAGTATTCGGCGATTCGAGAGACTACGGAGTATATAGTAATTGGGCCTCCGGTAACCTCACTCATATGATGAAACACAACACAAGCGTTGTTTCACGTCAGTCTTCTGCTCGGCCGTGGTATCACTCCGGTCGAGCTGGCCCATTCGTGCCGAAGCATGGCGAGCCCACACTATTGTGACGATGATGATATGATACATTCTAAGACTATTGACTATTTATAAAACTAATGCCTAAATACTCAAACGCCACTGAATTTTGAGTCGCGCTGCAGTATAGTGGTGTCATTACAAGTTCTTTGTAAGCATGTAAAATGGCAGAGACGGCGCGATATATTTCGTACCACTTAAAATTTAGTAGCCTTTCGGTATTCAGGTGTAATTGTGGGCCCGCCATACTTCGTCAGAGCTGGGCCGGCTCGACCGGAGTGATACCACCAACGAGCAGAAAACCGACGTGAAATAAAAATAGGTAAAAAAACTTTTCAAGTTGAACGGTTTTATGTTAAACATACATTGCAATGTTTAAGATAAATGTACTAAAAACCAAAAAATAATAAAATAGATACAGTCGTGGGAATTATAAACATAATATGCATAGACTAGACTAAAATAAATCCGTGGGGCACGTCAATTTATAGTGTAACATTACAAAACAAACATTTTAAACTGTCAAACACCAAGCGGTCACCGGTGACCGCAACCTATTGTTCTATAATTGTGTCTACAAAACCGGTACTCGACGAGTTAAACTGTCTAACACCAAGCGGTCACCGGTGACCGCAACCTATTGTTCTATAATTGTGTCTACAAAAACGGTACTCGACGAGTTAATCAACGATTTTAGACAATTGAGGTGCCCCACGGATTTATTTTAGTCTAGTCAAAAAAAAACCGTTTAAAAACCGCTTAAAACCGTTTAAAAAACCGTTTAATAATAATAACAACCACAGCGTTGTGTTTCATCGTGTGAGTGACGTTACCGGAGGCCCAATCACCCCTCTCCCCAATTTTGCCCAAACAATCTTCAAATTCTTAGTACCCAAAAGGTAGGTAACGCACTTGTAACGCCTCTGGTGTTCCGGGTGTCCATGGGCACAACACATGGACAGTACCTACCCAGGAGGAACATATATATATATATATATATATTGGGTTTGGCGATTGGGTGAGGCGGGAGAGAGTGCCAGGCTCTTACTGACTAAAAACCATCCCGTTCCTACTCCTGCACGTCGAGCCGATGCCCCGGTTACCCGTTAGGTTCACCGCGACAGGAGGAACATATATATATTCCTCGATAAATGAACTATCCAATACAAAAAGAATGGTTCACGTAGTTCATGTTTCATTGACGTCTTACCGCGGACACATAACACGTCACATTTATATAGTTGTCTCCTCGCTCGATAGATGGCGTTGGGCTCAAGTTAAATCGCGCTATGGTTTCGTTACAGACGTTTGCCTAGGTGCCGGCTGGCCACTTACTACTTGATGTCAGTTCACGAATGTCTATACTTTATGTCCGCATTATTAGTTAATACGTTTGATATGTGAAACAAAGGAGGTAAATTATTGCTGATATTTTTGAAATTAGATCTAAGTACGTGAGTGCTAAGGTCTAAAATACACCCTAAACTTTAATGACTAAAGTCTTAGACAATGGGAAACAAATGAAAGATAGATATTTGCTGTTTTCACATTGATGTTCATGTTTTCTGTTTCATTCTTATTTCCTACTGTTTTTCAAATAGCGTTCAGCGCCATATAAAGAAATTCAACAAGATTATGTACTATTTTAAAAATAATAACTATAAGGGGTGAAAATATTGAATATGAGGCAATTGAAAATGTAATTGAAAAATAATTTTACTTCGATTTTTGTTTTTTATTGTTGTAATTATATAAATATCAATGTATGCGAGTTCTAGTAACTGAGGTAATTGGGAACTTTCCTTAGTCAAAGATGTCATTTTTCGACTATTTAATTCAATATAATATTAAAAAACAATTACACTTTCATTAATTGATTTTATGACCAACTTAATTTTAGTATATTTCCTGATTTTTTCAAGAAATAACTATGCAGTTTAACGCTATACAACGTGACGTCACAATACACAATCTCGTACAAAATTCGTAAATAGAAAACTGTCGTTTTTGACAGTTCGAAAAAAGTAAGTATTGAATTTGACTAGTTGGCAAGTATCCTACTGTTTATTACTTCATTATATGAGTAATAATGCTGCCTACCATACCTACTTTCTATTGCCTTTTTATGTGAGTTGTTGCTTTTTAGTTCTGACGCTACGCTTCTGAATCGCAAAAGAATAAAGATTGCAAATAAAATCCCCACGTTT